GTGTTGCGTTTCGGTATTAGAGTAGGAAGTTATCCACCAACGTTTCCAATTCAGGTGGTGTTTTAGGATTGACAGACGCAGTTGCACTCTTAACAGTTTTGACTAAATTCTCTGCCGCTCCGTTCGAGCAGGGGTGACGTGGTGCAGTTCGAAGATGCCGACAACCAATGCTGTCCATCCAGAGCTTCATTTCGGTTGCACAGAACTGGGATCCATTGTCCGTCACAAGCACTTGTGGAATTCCTTCGCGGCTAAAGCACTTTCGCAGTACTTGTATCACAAATGATGTGGTGGGCGTCGTTGTGAAGAATACTTCTGGCCATTTAGAGTATGAATCGATCAGAACAAGGGCGTAATACCGGTTCAGAAACGGACCACAGAAATCCAAGTGAACCCTCTGCCACGGTATGTAACTTTCCGGCCATGGTGTCCAGTTTTTCGGTCTTGTTCGTAGCTTGTGTAGACATGACTCACAGTTTTTGGCTGTTGCGTAGATGTCCGCGTCCAACTCCGGCCACCAACATATCTGTCGAGCCAAAGACTTCATTTTCTCCACTCCCATATGTCCTTTATGTAGTTCGTCTAGTACTGTCTTCCTTAGTGGCGGTGGGATCACCAAACGGTCGTCGCGACACAGTACACCATCCAATTGTACTGGCAATTCCTCTCGGTGAGCGAAGAATTGGGGATACTTTCTCTTTACCTCTGGTGACCACCCTTTCTTGATCGATGAAAGTATGACCGAGTAGTACTGTTTGGTAGATTTACGTAAAGATTCCCGAGACACTGGTGATGTTGGAGATGAACTGACACTATTCGGCCTCAGAAAATCGTGAGTAGTGAGAGAGGAAATCAGCCTGCGGGATTGTCTTTCCTGGACGATATTGGATGTCATAGTTGTATGCGGCTAGGGCGATGCTCCATCTCTGTAGAATAGCAGCAGTGGACTTCGTGATCGATTTGTTGGGGTTGAATAAGAACTGTAGCGCTTGGTGATCAGTGATGATGGTAAACCGCAATCCGAAAAGGAACTTGTGCAATCGTCGAACAGCCCAAAATACAGCCAATATTTCTTTTTGAGTTTGCGAGTATCCTTTTTCTGCCGCATTAAGTAGACGTGAAATGCAGATCACTGGGCATCCCTCTTGTTCTAATGCAGCACCGATTCCGACGTCGGACGCATCGGTGATGAGTGTAGTGGGTTTTGAAGGTGAAAACGGGGCCAGAACAGGATGATCAGTACCGCAGCGAATTAAACCGCGTAAGATATCCTTACACTACACCGACCATTCCCAAGCGTCTGAACACAAGACGGAAAAGCGGCTGCACCCTTGTAGCAAAGTTCGGGATAAATCGGGAATAGTACTGTAGGCATCCCATCACGGATCTAAAATGCGTTTGATCCTTTGGAGATTCGATGTTAGTCAATGGTTGGAAACGTGTCGAATCGGGGTGGTATCCACGGAAATCAACTGTGAATCCTAGAAACTCCAACTCGCTCACATCAAACACATTTGGACAGCTTGATAGCCACATTCCTGGCGACGAATCGTTCCAGTAACTGCGTAAGACGGGCATCGCGTTCTTTCTTATTAAAGCCGAAAATGAGGACGTCATCTTGATATGCAAGCACACTGTCGAGACCTTTGATTACACTGCCTATTATCGATTGGAAGAGGCCAGACGACACATGCAATCCGAATAGGAGAAAATTATACTGGTACATTCCCCACGGCGTGTTGATTTTTGTTACGTAGCGAGATTCGACATCGAGTGGAATCTGTAGGTATACGTCCGCCAAATCGATCTTGGAAAAATACTGGTAACCATGCAATGAATTCATGAAATACTTTGGTTCCATGGTGGTTGCGGCACATCTCCACAATCGGGGAGTCAATGTCAGTCGATAGTCTCCATAGATCCATCAGTTTTCATTGCCACGACAATCGGGGTCGCCCAGGCACTGGATTCAACTTTGCTTATCACACCATCCTGTTCCATTTTCTGTAACGCTTTCAGGACACCTTCCCGTTGACCGTATGGGAGAATGCGTCGTTTTAGGAAAACAGGTTCACCGTCCACTTCCAACTTTACCGACGGTAACTTCATGCCACCAATGTTACTGGAACATTGTACAATCAAATTTTGAAGATGTGAGGTGATTGGCTTATCGTTGTTGGTATGTAGTGTGGTTGATCCTTGTAGTAGTCGCATTGCTCGTAGGTCTAGAATGGACGGACTGTGGGCTGATACCGGGAATCGAATCGGGATTGACATACTGGATTCAGATTGAACGCACAACATCGTTTCGCCAAGTAATTGCAATTAATGACCGGTAACCCCACGAATGCTCACAGAAGTCGGGGCTAGAACAGCATTGGGACAAATCGCAGTGAGTGCTGATTTCGGTAGGATAGATTCGCTGCCTCCTGTGTCCATGATGAATCAATGCTCCATACCAGACTCGAATCTCAGTGGAGCGGACACGAACTGGCTTTTGGGTTTAGTGGTATGCAGCGTGTAGATTGGGCTTGAATTCTCATCTGCCGTTGGGATATGGGAATCGACGAGGCTGCACTTGGGCATTCGGCATACCTTGCGGATATGGCCCATTTTACCACATGCATGGTAAGCGGCATTACGGAACCGACAAGTCGAACGAGGATGGTATTCACCACATGATAAGCAGCGGTTGATCGCAGCCTTCGGTTGTGTTCGGCTTGAACTGGGTACTTGAGGAACCTGGGGTGAATTATGAACACTGGGTACATCACGTAATGGTTTCGTTGATTTCAAATGGAATAACACAGGAGTATCCGCATTTGTGGCAGCACACAAATCATCACTTTGCTCACAGATTTTTCGAGCCTCAGCAAACGTGATGTCTTTCTTTTTCAACATCTTACCTTGTGATGAGATGTTGTTGATTCCAGCAATGAGACGATCCCAAAGTTGTTCTTCCAATCGGTCACCATAGTTGCATTTTGACGCCTGTTTATTCAACTGAAGGATGAATTCACGGCATGGCAATTCAGCAGGAACATTCGGGAACGCTAAATTCTTCACCAGGGAATACAGCTCTCGGCCACCCAATGTCAAAAATAGGATCGATCGATTTTGCATTCATCCTTTCCGGATGTTGTGCCATAATTCGAAAGGTTCTACCCACTATTCGATTTCCGATGGGCTTCCTAGGAGGTTCATTTGTTCCATGGCAGGACTCTCCATTGCGCGACGCCAGATTGTGGTAATCGGAATAGTACTGAACGTAGGAATACGAGAACCCGTACTGGATTGGCTCCAACCCGAACTGCGGACACCAATGAAATACACGAGGAAGTGATAGCAGCAAATGCTTATATTTACTGATAGAATTAGAGCATGTTTTATACGAGGGAATAGGCCATATAATTGGTTGAAGGACCGCCGTCCAATCACGTAACCGTTTGCACCAACGCTTCACATGTACTAACTCGGATGTCATGTTCGCCCGGTGTACCATTGGTTGAGCTTCCTGAACGGTGATTGGATGACATGAAGCTGTACCTGGTCGTGCCTAGATTGCGGTCAGGGAAGTCTGGATCACCACAAAATCAGACTTTCGCGACAAAGAAGTTCGGTGGTGGTTCGAATGGAGTGACATGCTACTACTGGCACAAAGTCGCCAAAGATTCGTGGACTTCCACACCCCTAATAATCGTGCCGGAGGTCTTTAAGGTATTTATACC